CAATACCCCGTCACCGAAAAAATGCCCACCCAGGATATCTGCCAGCCCACCCTTCTATAGCTGTCAAGGACCAGGGCTGACCTATATGCAGAAAACAGCAGAAACTTCAGCAGTGGATATCTTAGCGCCTTCTCTCGCTCCGCCCAGACTTTACTATGAGAACAGGTTGGTACAGAAGAGAATTCAGTTATCCATAACTCCGCGTCAGACGTGTGTTCTGTCTCCTCTCAACTGAAGCAATGATGCTCGCGTACCTGGTGCTGCTGGTTGCGCTTTCCTTACCTGGATATCTGGATGCACTTCATGGATTATACGCCTTCGACCAGCCCGAGCTCTTTCAGAAAAAGAGCAACTGCAAACCCATACCTGCAAACCTGCTCCTGTGCCATGACATCGAGTACACGGACATGCGTCTGCCTAACCTCCTCGGACACGAAACCATGAATGAGGTTCTGCAACAGGCTTCCTCCTGGACCCCTCTGGTGCAGAAACAGTGTCATCCGGACACCAAGAAGTTTCTCTGCTCTCTTTTCGCACCGGTGTGTCTGGATGATCTGGACGAGCCGATTCAGCCGTGCAGGTCGCTGTGTGAGAGCGTGGAGAGCGGCTGCGCTCCAGTGATGGCCGCGTTTGGGTTTCCTTGGCCGGACATGCTGGACTGCAATCGCTTCCCTCTGGATAATGACCTGTGTATACCACCTGCTGGCGCAGATGCTTTAGTGCCAGTCACCAAGGAAGGTAGAATTTATTATTATTATTATTTTACTTTTTTTAAGTGCATGCACACCCTTTTACCTTTACTGCTATGTTGATCTTTTTGCCCAGTTCCAAGAGTGTGTGATGCCTGCAAAGAAAAGCCTGAGAATGACAATGAAATTTTGGACAGCCTGTGCAAAAATGACTTTGGTAAGGCTATATTTTGTTTGCTTTAAACATTAATGTTTTACATTAATGAGTTAATGTAGTGGCATCTCTGCTTTACGCTCTTAAAAATAAAGATCAATTATAACCAAAAAGGGCTATGCAGCCTAATGTCATATAAAATAACCTTTAAAGGGGTCGCCCAAAAAAGATAATTTACTCACCGTCATATTGTTCTGTATGAAGTTCTTTTGCAGAACACAAATTAAGATTTTTTAATGAATGTTTCAACTATTTTTGTCCATGCAGTGAAAGTCAGTGGGGTCCAGAGCAGCACTAGCACCCATCGACTTTCTTTGTGTAGGCAAAAAAACCAAAGAAGAATATCAAATATATATATGAATATGCATTTAATAAATGCGCACCGGTTTAGAACAACATGAGCATAAGTAAATGAAGACAGAAATGTTATTTTGGGGGAAACTATCACTTTAAATTCCACAAAATACTTTATTATTTTCTTCTTCTTCTTTTTACAGCCTGTGCAAAAATGACTTTGGTAAGGCTATATTTTGTTTGCTTTAAACATTAATGTTTTACATTAATGAGTTAATGTAGTGGCATCTCTGCTTTACGCTCTTAAAAATAAAGATCAATTATAACCAAAAAGGGCTATGCAGCCTAATGTCATATAAAATAACCTTTAAAGGGGTCGCCCAAAAAAGATCATTTACTCACCGTCATATTGTTCTGTATGAAGTTCTTTTGCAGAACACAAATTAAGATTTTTTAATGAATGTTTCAACTATTTTTGTCCATGCAGTGAAAGTCAGTGGGGTCCAGAGCAGCACTGGCACACATCGACTTTCTTTGTGTAGGCAAAAAAAAACAAAGAAGAATATCAAATATATATATGAATATGCATTTAATAAATGCGCACCGGTTTAGAACAACATGAGCATAAGTAAATGAAGACAGAAATGTTATTTTGGGGGAAACTATCACTTTAAATTCCACAAAATACTTTATTTTCTTCTTCTTCTTTTTTTTTGAAAACAGTTTGGTGCTTTAAAGAACCCTGATCTGAAGAAGTTATAATGTAACATCAAGAAATGTTTTCATGTTCAAAGAATCATAAATTAAAAAAAAAAAAAAAAAAAAAACGCTTAAACCAGCCTAGCTGGTTTACTGGTCTAAGCCAGTTTAGGATTATCCTGGCCAAGATGGTGTTTAGCTGGTTTATCTTGTTGATTGAAAGGTGCACCTCAAAAACCAGCCAACAGACCAGACCAACAAACCAGCTAAGGTTGGTTTATATTCTTAAGAAAACCTAGAAAAGTATAGAACCCCATTGAGTGAAAATGATGAAGAGGTGAGGAACATTTATTTTTAAGAGTATAGAGAAAGCAAAAGTTATTCATAAATTTGGTCTATCTTGAATTCAAGCAGTTGTTTATATCCATTGTCCTCAACCTTCAATTGTATTTCCACACTAGCTTTAAAGATCAAAGTCAAGGAGATCTCCTACATGAATGGCGACACCAAAATCATTCCAGAAATCAAGAGCAAGACTATCTACAAGATGAATGGTGGTGTTACTGATCGTGACTTCAGGAAGATGGTGCTTTGGCTGAAAGATGGTCTTCAGTGTGTGTGTGATGAAATGAATGACATCAATGCCGCTTATCTGGTGATGGGCCAGAAGATGGATGGAAATTTGGTCATCACGTCATTGAAGCGCTGGCAGAAGGGTCAGCGGGAGTTTAAGAGAATTTCTCGTAGTATTCGCAAGCTTCAGTGCTTGGATTGTCCACTGCTCAGAGCACTCAAATGGTCTTTAAAATGAAGACCTGTAACAGTCACACCATATGTAAATGCAAAGGTTCATTTAAAACCCTAATGTCTGCTTTTCCTGGCCAGTCAGAGCTCAGGATTGGTGGAGCTGTCACTTGTAACCGCCAAAAAGCACCTAACCTAGATTTAGCACAGTTACAACTTTTCATTTTCCCTCATAAGTTTTGTCAGTTAACAGCACCTGTCATTTTTAATATTCACAAAACTCATTCCTCTCTTCTAACATTTTTGACCATAGAGCCTCAAAACTGCCACAGAACAATTTTCTGACAGATGTTTTGGCATAAAATCTTCTAGCATAAAATTTATATATATGGACACCCCTTCTAGGCCCTTAACGAGTTCTGCCATTATTTCCAGTGAAAACAAGTTTAAAAAGGATCTCACCCAAAAAGGAGAATTATATTGTCATTTACTCACCCTCATGTCATTCCAAATGCACAAAACGTCTTTCAAACACAAATGATGACATCCTCTCTTCTAACATTTTTGACCATAGAGCCTCAAAACTGCCACAGAACAATTTTCTGACAGATGTTTTGGCATAAAATCTTCTAGCATAAAATTAATATATATGGACACCCCTTCTAGGCCCTTAACGAGTTCTGCCATTATTTCCAGTGAAAACAAGTTTAAAAAGGATCTCACCCAAAAAGGAGAATTATATTGTCATTTACTCACCCTCATGTCATTCCAAATGCACAAAACGTCTTTCAAACACAAATGATGAAATTTTTTATGAAACATGAGAGATTTCTGTTCCTCTATTGAAAGTTCATGCCACCAAAACTTTGATGGTTAAAAAAGTTCATAAAGACATTGTAAAAGTAATTCATATCAATTGAACAGTTTAATCCAATGCTTCTAAGAGACCCAGTCACTTTACATGATGAACAGATTTAATTTAGGCATTTATTCACATAAACATTAATCAATCCATATGCATAGAGCACATAAAATATGGTAAATGAAAGCTTAAATAGTCCTGCTTGATTCACAGCAACCAATGTTTGAGCTTCTGCAAAAACCAATGAGATTTGTTTTTGTACGTCAAGCAAGTAGTTGAGCTTCCATGTTTACAATGTCTTATTAACTTTTTGAAGCAGCAAAGATTTGTTTGAATGGACTTTAAAAGGAACTGATCACTCAGGTTTCATTAAACATGTCTTCATTTGTGTTTCAAAGGTGAAGAAAAGTCAGATTTGGAATGACATGAATTTTTAATTTTGGGTGAACCATCCCAATGTCATTGTAGAGAATTCTGTGCTTTGTTTCAGGAGTTTGGGAAGGGTCCTTTTCTGTTTCTGAATGACAATACCCCTCTACACAAAACAACGTTCAAATATAATTGATTTACTGAGTCTGATGTGGAAGAATTTGACCGGCCTGCCCAAAACCCAGAAACAAACCCTATTGAATATCTTTATGATGACCTCTGTTGCAGCAAACAAGTTAAAATCACACAATTTTCTAGAATGCCATTGTATGCCAGTACATTAATTGTCCTCACAGAAATTACTGGAATAATCAGACCCATTAATAAGAAAGGGGGGTCACATATTTAGGAAATATTTGCATGTGAGAAGTTGAAATGGTAGGTATGAAAATTTCATATATAGTTCCTCTATCAAATATGGTTAGGAAACATGTTTTCTAGCAATGCATGGTCTATGTGGATTTGAATCTGCCACAGTAAAATAGTGAGAAGGCTTGTGTGAGTAGTTTTGCTTTAAGTACTTTTATCAGCACAATGAGATAGCTGGCTCTATTCTCAATGTTTAAAAATATCCCATGTGACACTAGCGTCTGAAGTATGATCATGTATGTTTATGTGAATATTTTCATTTCTCCCCAGACAATGATGAGTAGGCCAACAAATGTATGGTTTCTTTAGCCCAGGGTTTTTGTCTTCTTTCTACTTGAGCCTAAATACTGCACTGTTCCTGTATTATATTCTTTAAATTACAATCAGCAGTTTTATATAGTATTGGTTTATTTTCTTTCTGTGTCAGTTATATTAACAATGTTGTACTGTATGGGTCTGTGTTTTGTTTTGCTCACAAAGTTGTTTGCTGTTTTCTTTTGTTTTGGCATATGAATACCCAATATTATAGTAAAGTCACACGCTGGTAAAACCACAGAGACATGCTTCTCTATGTGCTGCACAGTTAGAGCAATGTTGACTCAGTTTTATTGTGCAGTTGGTTAGTGAAAAACATCTCAAGATAATATCCAAACTTTTGTGATACTCTGTAAATATTCACATTTTTATGCTTGTACATAGTTTCAAAGCCGGTTCCATTTCATTTGTTCGTCACAGTAGCAATATGTTGTCATTTCATTAGTGTTAAATGCATTTATTTACACCCACCGCCATGTAATGTAATTTGATCATTGATGATTTGTATCATTTTTCTTCAGCTGGCACACAATACATAATAAGTGCAAATAAATTTCAAAAGAAAATCATAGGTTTTTGTTTTTAACAATATGTACACAAAGATTGTTTGACTTTGGATTACATTATAGTTTTCTATTGCTAACTAACAGTAAACAGACTGTCAGAAGGTTGCAGGTATTTGTATACGTTAAAAGAAACAAGAAATAACAAATTACTGTAAATTACTTTAAAGCCTTAAATCTATTCTTTGAATCATTTGTAATTCTTTTTTTATAAAAAAGAAAAAGAAAAAAAGAAAAGGTTGCAGGTATGTGTGGTCTTTAGTTCCCCCTAGTGGATGGCTATGAATTCAGAAATGATCAAATGCATTTTATCCAACAAAATTATGTTAAAATGGACATTTTAATAATGATAAAATAACAATGAAATGTAACTCAAGTCAAAAGTCAATTCAAAGTTCGTCACTGGCCAACTGGTTTGGTCAAAGCCAATTGGTTTGGCAAAGAACTGGTTTGGTGTTCTTTGCCTCAGAGTGTAGGCTGCTGTAAACATACTATTCCATCTAGTGGCTGAAATTTTTCATATGCATACTTGCACTCAATATACTGCAGAAATTCCAATCTAAAAATAAATCATTTGATAAGAAAAATAGTATCAGTTTACCAAGGTGCAGCACATTTTTACAAGACACACATCACAGTGATTTTCATTCTGTGTTTTAGAAAGATCATTGAGAAGACCAGAAAGCTAATATTAGATTTTTTTTTGTCATCAATTTATCGACAACATTGAAGTTATTTTGAAGTAAATGTAAAGCTAATGTACCCATTGTCTCTTCTGAAGACAAGTGTATAAGAGTTTGTGCAATGAGAAAAAACGAATATTTTTTAATATTATTATTCATGATTCAAGAACCATTTCATCAATGATTTAAAATTTGTATTTGAATCGTATTTACCTTTAATTTAATTACTGCATTTAAACCTAAAAGAAAATGAAAAATTATGCCTTCGACTAACTGAAACAAAATAAGTTAAAGTTACAAAAACATAAAGCTAATAAAAAGACAGAAGCACATAAAATTACTAAAATTAACATTAAAATGACAACAAAGTATTGTAAAAACAAGCCAATTCAAAATATTAATAAATAGGCTGATTTGATTTAGATTGATATATATATTGTTGGTTCTGTAGTTACTGTATGATGCAGTATTATTGTTTATCGATGTTGGCATTGTTGGTTTGACCACTAGGAGACATACATGCTGTGGCTCCAGTATATCTACTGAGTCTGACACACACGTCCTCTTCCGGGTGTGTTTGAAAAGACTTTCACTGAGCTGTGGAGGGATTCGCTGTGTCTCGAATGATACACACAGCAACTCAAACTCAAGCCAAGACCATTTTTATGAAAAGAGCTGTGCAACAAGAAAGAGAACAGTTGTAATCTGTGTGCAGGTGAGTGCTGCTGAACAATCAACTGTTGCTTCGGTGTTCATGTATGTGTGATGGCAGGCATGATGGCTTCAGTATGCAGGGTTGATCCTCTGCCTCCCCTGCCACTGGGAAAAGTGACTAAAGGAAATTCAGTCAGGCTGTCAGACAGAATAACAGACTGCCGACTTACTGTCTATTCTGTTCAGATCGTTTCACGCCTTCGATGAAGAGAAGAGTATTGGCAAAAAATCTGAATGTCACCCACTCATAATTTTGCTTTCAATTGTGTTCATGCGTAATGAAGGTCGCATCATTGATATAAAAGCGGTATAGTGCGTGAAATTGCAGATTTATTGCGTTTTGTAACGCATAACTCGACTGAAATGCTTCAGGCAAAGGAAGTAACTCTATCGCAACTTTGACGTGCGGGCGCAACAATGAGACAACACTGAGAGATTGAATTCCAGGAAGGAATAAGGCAATATAATTAAACAATACAAATTGTTTATAAAGACGGTGGTTTTTAATATACACTTTGTATTGCTTTGGGTTTGTACGTGTTGTTCCGTCGCTTAACAATGAAAAGTGCAACAAAAAAAAACCGTTTACGTGTCCATGACACGAATGAACGAATCCTACTATGGGAAAGGGTTAGTTTATGAATATTAATTAGGTCATGTGACTGGGCGCTCAAATGAAGAGTACAAAGCGTGACCTAAGTAAAATATTCGTGTGCGAAGCCTTGGCCGTAATAGGTTTTATAATTTTATTGTCCATGACTTCTTTCTTTTTTTTTTAAAGGAAAAGTGGGCTTCTTCCTGCGATTGTCTATGGCCTGCATTTCTCTCCTTCTATTAAAACTAAATAGGCTAAATCCATAAACTTTATGAATATTTTATTCCAGTTATTGACCGAATGACAGATATTTACGAATGACAATTTACACACATATACATTTTCCTTGTACAAGATGGTTTAGCAATCTTCAAAACTAGGACACATTTTCATTACATGCAATAAACTTGCGTAATTTGACAGTGTAAATGTTACTGATGAGGCAGCATAATAAAAAAATGTGGAGTTGCTTTTGGCATTGAAATTATAATGTTTGGAATTGTTATTTGCTCTATATGAAAATGTGTAGAGCTCAATAATTAAATGACATTTGAGTCTTGGTTTGTAGAAAACATATCACCGTGTGTAACTGGAGCTTTATTATACAAACCTATAATCCCAGTTTCTAGGTTAACTCAACGCTTACTGATACATGAGCATCATGGGATAGTCTCTGTGTGCAAAGACATAAAGACATAGATTTCATTATTCATTAGCTGAATGCTAGCTCATCATAAAAGAGTTTGGCTAATTCTTCTCCTATGAGTATAGTTTGCTTTATAAGTAACTATTTCCTTATTTAACCATAAAATGAAGAGTACAAAGCGTGACCTAAGTAAAATATTCGTGTGCGAAGCCTTGGCCGTAATAGGTTTTATAATTTTATTGTCCATGACTTCTTTCTTTTTTTTTTAAAGGAAAAGTGGGCTTCTTCCTGCGATTGTCTATGGCCTGCATTTCTCTCCTTCTATTAAAACTAAATAGGCTAAATCCATAAACTTTATGAATATTTTATTCCAGTTATTGACCGAATGACAGATATTTACGAATGACAATTTACACACATATACATTTTCCTTGTACAAGATGGTTTAACAATCTTCAAAACTAGGACACATTTTCATTACATGCAATAAACTTGCGTAATTTGACAGTGTAAATGTTACTGATGAGGCAGCATAATAAAAAAATATGGAGTTGCTTTTGGCATTGAAATTATAATGTTTGGAATTGTTATTTGCTCTATATGAAAATGTGTAGAGCTCAATAATTAAATGACATTTGAGTCTTGGTTTGTAGAAAACATCACCGTGTGTAACTGGAGCTTTATTATACAAACCTATAATCCCAGTTTCTAGGTTAACTCAACGCTTACTGATACATGAGCATCATGGGATAGTCTCTGTGTGCAAAGACATAAAGACACAGATTTCATTATTCATTAGCTGAATGCTAGCTCATCATAAAAGAGTTTGGCTAATTCTTCTCCTATGAGTATAGTTTGCTTTATAAGTAACTATTTCCTTATTTAACCATAAACATTTTGAATGTGAGTAGTGTAGGTGGTGTAGATAGTGAAGACTGATGTACAAAGTGCTGCAAATTTAGTGAGCTGAAGCATTTATTTCCTGTATAGGCCTGAATTCGAATTCTTTTGTGTAAAGGAATGCAGGATGTAGTCTAAAGTTTATACGAAGGATTGTATATGAGTTTCTGTCAACCAGTATTAACTAAAAGACGAATAGAACTTAACATTCGGTCAGAAAGAATGTGCCTGTGCTGATTTACTAACCCATTTTTTTGCAAGCTCTTTCATTGAAAATTTCAGCTGTCATTGGTTCCTGGGTATTGACTTGTAACAAATACGGCTTGTTTGTACCATGATTATTAGATGTTCGTTCCATGATGTAGCCTACAGCATAATGCCAGAATCCCTTCCTGAGACTTCAGCCTCGATGGAATTGAGTGACATGCATAAACATTTACTTGAATTCAGCACAAGAAGGAAAAAATCTTGGTCAGTTGCTCACATGTATGTTTACTTTCAGGAATGTCAGAAGCTAGTTTTGACTCTGGGAAGAATGCCTCACAGGATAATCAATCGGACCCTAATGAACAGGGCCCTCAAAATACTGCTGACTCTGTGAGTCAATCAGAGGCCAGAAAAAACAACCTGGATGAAGCACACATGACTGAAATTGACATCAGTGAGGACAAGGAAGTTGGAAACCACAATTATACTCACAGTGTTTTTTTTTTTTTTTTTTTTTTTTTTTTTTTTACAACAGGACACTTCTAACACTGCATTACATGTCTTGTCAACTGTATGCACTTTTCGTCTTAGCTTGTCTTAACTCAGTACTGCACTTTTATCTACAGTATTAGCATGATTCAAATTGTTCTACAGCCTGTCCTGATAAGGGAGTGTTTACTCTTGATGCTTTATCTGGTTAAAAGTCTTTCCTTTTCTTCTGGTAACTAAGAGGTTTGTTTAAGAAACCCATCTTTCGTTTTCTTTTTGAGCATTTATTAGATTCGTGATTACAGCCCTTCAGAATGTCTGATTAGATTGCAGTTGTTTCTGTTGGTCTCTTTGTTACTGTCTCTAAGCAACTGAACTCTAGGGAACTCTTCTGCAGGGCTTAACCGAGGCACTGCTTATCAATGCCGCTTTAATCATTGAATCTGGTGGTGACAGACTGTGAAGCATTTGAAAGTAAGGGCTTTTAGAGTTGTGCCTGTGAAAGATAATCCTGACCATCATTGGAGGACAAACAAACTCACTTAAAACAGAATGGGATGCCAGATCTATCCAGATTTGAATCGCTCATAAGAGTAACCAGTGAGAACCACAATTGACATTTGATTCATCAAATGAGTTTAGAGTCACTGAACTTCTGGCATGATGGCATCAGGTGGCTTTGAAAGATTCATGCACTGTTATTGGACACTGCTGTTTTCACCGGCCAGACAAAAAAGTGGCCTGTCTTGAAGATTCAAATCACTGAGCCACTCCGCAGAACACAAACCTAAATAGCCTTTTTTGTAGTTGCGTATTAAGCCTCAAGCAAGGGCACTATAAAGTAAAACCACCTTGAAATAATGAATTGTTGCTTAAATTGCAACCTGAAACCAAATAGTGACAGCAATCTGCTTGTGTCTTGCTTTCATTTGCATATGTAACTGAAGTAGGCACTTTTGGATTTATTGATGTTTGTAGTAGGGATGTAAATCTGTAATACAGTTGATATATATTTGGGTATCAATTTGGGAATGCTCATTTGTTATTATAATCTTTAGCCGATCTTAAAATTGTAATAGCACTATCCAAACTATTACATTTATTTGTGTTTTATTTTTTTATTTATTTTTATACAATATAGTATAGAAGCAACATAGAAACAATTATCAGTCATCAGCAATAAATTAAAAAAATAATTGTCAACTTATAGGTAACAGAAGTTTGTGTTACTGGACAGATCTGTACAATTCTCTGAATATAACAGTAATACATTTACAGTAGAAACCTACCAGACAAGTGGACTGTACCATATGTCAATATGTAAAATATGCAAATATCCCACTGTTTTGAAAGTATAACCATAAGACTGAATTAGACCACACAGGCCCATCCTTTCAACCACGTGCCAGCTTTTCAAAATAGGCATAGGCCAGGAATTCGTTTTTGATATTTTTACCTGCTTTTTTTTTTTTAATACCGATGTTCACGGTTTTATCTGTTATTCAAGATCTTCGTACTTTTCCAAAGTATAACATGACATGTGGATCACTGTGTCCACTCTCACTCCCGCATCTGGCTCCGTGTTCATTTGTCAGCTATTGCCGCTATACTGTAGCTCCTGGTTTGAGTGATCGGTTTGTTGTCCATCTCAAACGTCTTTTTCAGAAAAATTCAGTGTAAATTGAAGTCTCGCTTTGGTTGTGTCATTAAAACCACCTTTGGACTTACTGTAATGCAGTGGACATTTTATTGGCGTGTTTAAAGACTGTCCACAAAGCTCATCAGCAATCTTCTTAACCATTTGGCACACAACCTTCTGATGCAAAGTCACATATGCTTTATCTTGTTAATGACTTTTCACGTGCTATAGCTCTCACGTTCTACTCTTGTCATTGTGTAAGATTTAGATTATTTTTTTTCTTACAATGAGCCCAAAGCCTGTTATTGTTTATTTGTTTTCAGCTTGTCATTGAAAGAGTGGTAGGAACTGAATTGTCGAGGTTATCCTTGGATGTCTGATTAGCTTATGCTTAATTCCACCATCCGTCACATTGTGCTCCAGTCACTAGGCTGTTTTATCCCTTAAAGGATTATTGATGAACTTGTGGTCAACTTGCTCATCCCAAACTTTTAAACAGTACTGTTTATGAAAATGTGTTTATCAGTCCCTGATAAAAATGATCACCAGATGGCAGTGTAGTTAGACTTGGCTGTTCTCCCTGTACTTTTTGATTCACTAATAGTTCTATTTCCCTGTTGCTGTTAAATAATTATTCTAAAACAGCAGCAGACCTGATCCATTTCGTTTTCTATAGATGCGTTTTCTTTGCTTGTGGTGCTGCAGATAAAACTTCACAAGTCTTGGCAAGCTGCAGTTGTGCAAAGCTTTTTGGTGGTGGTAGCACTCTGCATCTGAACTCTCAGCTTGACAGCTTTAACATCGATTTTTCCTAGTTCTCCTAGTTATTGATATTGTGTTTGTGTATTGAAGGTGGCTATGGCAGAGGAGGCCCACAGAAGCCAGGCTGCTCAAATCTCAGTCACCAGAAACGGAGAAGCAGACAAGAGTCACGAGGAAGTGTTTCACAGGGTAAGTCTTCCTACACAGAACAAACCACCCATCATGTTCCAATTCCAGCTGTGTCTAAACTGTTCTTGCCCTGAGTAGAAGTCAACTAACAATGGTGCCATTTGAACACAGAATGTTTGGATATGAATGTTTCCAAAGTGCTGTGTACTGATGACACAATGACAATCATATGTGTCGATGTGTCTCATGACTGTAGTTATGTTCCTAATTATTTAAAGTATTTGACAGATTATTATATTGTTACAGTCTAATAGGACTATATATATATATATGTATGTAGATAGATAGACAGACAGACAGATACACAGATAAGCCAGAGTTGCTATTATTGAATATATTGTTTTATGGATTATGTTGGTTTGCCCAGCCCTACCTCTATATATCTGGTCTGGCATTTATTCTTAGCTTTAATTCTCCTTGTTAACTCACAAAACTGTGCCAGCATCCCAACCAGCCAATGAGCTCATGGTTTATTATTAAACTAAAAGGCTGTCAGGTCTATAGCAACCATATATATACTGTACTTTTACTGACTAACAACTGTTTTGCAGCAACAGCAAAACTAGCTTGACTAGCTTTCTACTATTTGTTGTAGTCTTTTTAACCTTGAGGAAATTGTCTTAAGTGTGGGCTTTCTTCACATTAAACAGAAGAACTAGACAACGTGAATCCCCAGGGCATCTCTAAAATGTGGGCCTACCTAGTTAAAGAAATGTTTCACACAAGTAATTGTAAATGATGCCTAGTGGGCCTACATCTTTTAACCCTTATTATTATACATGCATTTGTTGTTACCAAATGTAAAACAATGGCGCTAGAATGATACAGCGAGTTGTTTAGCAACAGACGACTAATCATAAATTAATTAGTGCTAAGTGCATTAAATATTCATGAGCTTTGTACAGTCACAGAAACTTTCACACACATGCACACACACTGTATTTAGTTTCAGTGTCTGAGGGGGGAAAAAAACGTTTTGGTGTGAAGAAGAGACGCTATTATTTGACTTAATACAAACAGAGAAGAGTTACTTGGCCACATTTTCATAGATAATATGCTTGGTACCTAATATGCTTTAACCCTGCAATTACAGAGTTTAGACCATTTTAAAAAGTGAAAACTTGTTATTTTGCCACAGAATTGAACACAAATTATGCTGTTTTGAAATGAATGATTAACAGCTAAAACTAAGAGGAAAACAGTAGAAAACATTGCATTATGCAAATTGCTTTATGGTATCTTTCTTGAATGTCGTTCATTTTTATTCTTGTTTCTTATTCTCCCTGTTTTTTCTTTCAAGGATGTGCCACACAATGTCTCCTCTGGACCAATCACATCACAGTCCCACAATTCACCTGAAAACTATGCAATGAATGAGGGAGTGGTCCAAGTGGGGCCATATACAGGTACAACACTAAGCAGGCATTGAACCTGAATATAATTTGCCTTTGTCCTTCACACAAATACATACAATGACTCGGCATGCTACAGTTAACCCACAAACGTATGCGCTTACATAAGATTATATACAGACAGATTCGCAATTTGCTCAGAGACAATGGTAAAATGTTTATCATTTAAAAACACTTTCTTTCATTGTAATAAATTAGATGAGGCTAGGGTGTTTTTTCCCATCATTAGGTTAGTAGACTACAGTAGTTGAATGGCTTCAATATCCTCTCACTATCTGGTACATCTAATGTGAACCCACGTTTGTTTGTCTGTGTTTCTCTTTGAGTGTGTTGTGGAGAGAGGGAGAATTTGAATTTGAAAAGAAAGGTGCTCCTGTCTCATTGCAGAGTCGTCTGTGATCTTTTTTTTTGTTTTGTTTTTTTACATCTGCTTCCCCTTTCATTATTTCATCCTCGTCTACTGCGTGAATTAATTAGGACGGAAACATGGCAACCTGTCATTAGTTGGGTGTAATTGCTGACCACCCTTTTTATTATTCATCTATATATCCCTTGTCACTTGTTAGCTTAGGAGACTATGGAGCGTATTTCATAAGTTTGCTGCAGATCTTTTTCAGATTTCCCTTGTTATGTTGACATGTACATTTTAAGGTTTGTGTATTTAAACAAGCCCTGTAATAATTGGAACCTGCACATATGTTTAAAAATTTGGAGTTGAATCTATTTAATTAAAAATACAGCAGAAACTGTAATATCGTAAAATATTAATACAATTTAAAAGAACCGTTTTCTGTTTTAATATGTATTAAAATGTGACTTATTTCTGTGATGGTAAAGCTAAATAGCAGCCAGTTTTCAGTGTCACATGATCATTCAGTAATCATTCTTCTATGCTCATATGTTGACACATTAAATTTAATTCAAAATTAAATTTACTGCTTAAAGGGGTCATATGATGCAATTTAAAATTTTCCTTTCTCTTTGGAGTGTTACAAGCTGTTCGTGAATGGATAAGGTCCCTTAAATTTCAAAAACTAAAGTCTCAAACCCAAAGACATATTCTTTATAAAAGTTAAGACTCGTCCACGCCCCCCTAAAATGCCTCGTTTAAACATGCCCCCACGTCTATTTAATTTAAAGAATTTGCCACTGACGATTCAAATGCGAGTTTTTTGGGCAGTGTAGAGTAGCGCTTGTTGTTTGTCATTTCTCTGATCACAAATGCAGGCATGGTTTTATGTTTATGTGGCGCGATACGCAACGCAATGTGTAAAAAGACAGTTTAAGTCATTATAATCAGTAATTATGTCCCCACTGGTTGCAACAAATGCCTCGTTTATAATGAGTTTTATTGTTTTTGTCTTGTCACTCCGGGACACGGCATCACAAAATGGTAAGGGGTGTAACATTTCCGTCACACGCTTGAGGTATTCTGCCAATCACAATGCACTGGATAGCTGGCCAATCAGCATACACCTCGCTTTTCAGAACGATGAGCTTTGTAAAAATCGACGCGTTTCAGAAAGGCGGGGCATAGAGGAGAAACAATAATGTACAGTATGTGGAAAATAATGTGTTTTTTGAACCTTAAACCGCATAAACCCATTGCATTACACCAAATACACAACATAATGTTCTTTTTAGCAACGTCATATAACCCCTTTTAATATTTTTGTGGAAACAGTGATACATTTTTTTCTGGATACTTTGAACAGACAGTTCAAAACAACTGCACTTATTTGAAATATAATTTTTGTAAGAAGTATTTACAGTCACTTTAAATAATTTAATGCATCCGTCCTGAATAAAAGTATTAATTGATTTACATTTTTACTGGCCCCAAACTTTTGAATGGTAGTGTAATTTGGGTAGACATTTTAAAGTAATAGGTTTGATACTGTAGCCACACTCTGATTGACCTGGTTTTGCATTATATTCTTTCCATAAACAACATGGGTTAAACAATCAATACATTTTGTGTGTATTTTTTATTTATTTTGATTTTGATGGATGGATGGATGGACACTTCCTCTGTGGCTGTAGATTACAAAAGAAAATGTCAGACTCCGTGTATAAATCATAAGAATTCATCACTGACCATTTTTAGGGTCGCCATTCCAGGCCACCACACCTAAAGTTGCCCCCAGTCCTGCAGCAGCCAGCCGGCTAGCTCGCAGCATCAGCGATAGTCAGGTGGAGACACGGAAAGGTACCACATACCGTAACAGAAGACGTCACGCATGGATCTACATTCCTTCATCTCTTCCCTTACTAACGCTGCACTGTCAGTTTCAGGCTGGACCATCATAAAGACATGGTTTTTCTAGTTGATTCCAGTGATGTCTGTTAAAATCTTATATAAAAATTGACATCACTTTCCACTTTTGTGTAGTTGTAGCACGTTAGATTGGTAGGTTGTAAATTTATGATGGTGTTTTATTAAATTCTGCCAACTCTGTGATCTCCAGGCCTGTTTTCTTCCTTCTTGTTGCTTCCCCCTTTAATGGCTTTGGAGTTGGGGCTCATTTATTCATCTTGGCTGACCACCCTGTAACCTTTTGCCTTCCTGACTGATCGTAAAATATAAAGTTTAAAAATAAAATAATTTTCACTTTTTCCCTCACAGGACTTTTATAATCCAAAACAATACATTGTTTTAGCTGTTTCCCACTGTTTCTGTCGCCGTCTGATATTTTAAATGAAAAAAGCATGTTTCACCTAAGCTTATCTTTAGTCTAGTCTTACTCCTGTCCGTGTTTCAGTGTTATTTTAGTATTATCATTTATTTTTATATTTACAGATTTAAATTTTATTTTAGCTTAATTTATTAAAAAAAAAAATTTAAATTGCCTTCCTAATTCTTTTTTTTATATTTCTTTTTAGTTTATTTTAGTTAGCAATTATAGTATGTCAATTTAAAGTTACTTCAGTTAAAGTTACTCCAAGGCAACATTTCTAATTTTAATTTAGTTTAGGTTTTAATTCTTATATTTTATTTCATATTATATTTTATTTCAGTTAACAAAAATGTTTTCCAATAGTTTTAGTTTGTTTTTGTTAATGATAAAAAAAATGTAATAAGTAGCAACAGATGTGATTTGTCAAATAGAATTATTTTAGATGTTAATTTTGGGAGTTCCTGTATTTTGACTGACTTGATTTAGCCAATTATCATAATTGTATCATATCAGATGAGATTTTAGTGTTAATAGTTTATGCCAGTGTGTCTCAATAAGAGTAGAGGAGTAATATAATATTACAGTAATTTCTCATGTCAGTTAACAGATGTCATTCTGTCATCAGGTGCTTTGAGAGAGCAGCAGATGGGAGGAGCAGTGGTCCTTGCTGATGACTTAAAGAGTCCTGCCATAGAGAAACTGGAGCTGGTGAGGAAGTGGAGCATCAACACTTACAAAGTGAGTGATTCCTGCCATAGTGGTTATGATGGCATCTGTGTTCATTAAAAAAGGTCTCAAGCATCTCGTCTCTTTGGGTTTGAGGTACTTGAAACAGGACAGAGCACAGTGCTTAAGAGTCGTGGTGTACAAGTTAGCACATGAGCAAGTTTAGTCTGGTTTGTGACATTTCCCAGTCATGATCCCTTTGAAATATTCTCCCCATAATAATTTCATATGTTCTCTATAATATTGCTGACAAAAAAGAGACGGGGTTCTTTGTATCCTCTATGCCCATCTCAATCTTTTGTAGCCCTGTAAATATTGATTTTCCTCTTAATATTGCCCATTTTGTTAACGTTTTTTGCATCTTATACTCCTCCCCACAGTGCACTAAGCAAATTCTGTCGGAGAAGTTAGGTCGTGGCTCCCGTACAGTTGATTTGGAGCTGGAGGCACAGATCGAGGTTCTCCGTGACAACAAACGAAAGTATGAGCATGTTATCAAGCTGGCGCAGACACTTTGCACTCAGCTGGCGCAGATGCTGCAGACACAGAGACAGCTGGGTGACGCGTTTGCTGACCTTAGTCTCAAGACACCCGAGCTACATGTAAGTACTCTTGATTTTATACAAAATCAGAATCAGTGTTTGTTTAAAATGGATATTAAGGCCCAATCCCAATTCTACCCCTTAGCCCTTCCCCTTTCCCCTACCCCTCCGTTTCGCGCGTTCACGTGAAGGGGTAGAGGTGTCTCAATTCTCTTTTGGTTGGAGGGGTAGGGGTAGGGGAAGGGCTAGATAGCCCTTCAAACGAAGATTTTTCGGGACCACACTTCAAACGAAGGGTTATGAATTATCGCCGCGTAAACCGGCTTCAGGGGCAACATGGCTGCCCGAGCGAACAAAAATACACATAAATGCAAGCATTTTTGGCATTAATAAAGATTTTAACGAAAAGTAATAATTTGTTTTATGTTACATTCAATCGTGAGTTCATATTTACGGTCATGTTACTCAAAGAAATGTTTGCAAAAAATCGCTAATATTTGCTAGCTAACGTCATATCATTATAGACTGCACGATAGTGCCACAACATATTTTCATGTCTGAGCAGGGCGATAACCACCAACATTGAGAGAGGCTAGTCCCCCCAATAATTAGAAATCGCGAAACCCTTTTCTCAAATATTGCCAATTCGAGAGAGAGAGATGAAAGTTGCGTTTATGCGTATCTGTGCGTTTCTCTTTTTAGAGTGAGTTTACTTAGAAAAACAGCGATTTTATCCTCTCGTTGCTGGAAAATATAATGTATCGATTCAGTATTTAAACTGTTATTAATAAAAGTCGTGGGGCAGCGTTGACAAGTTTCTTTTCTCCTGGATGTGTGAGCTGCACGATCTCCGATGTGTGTGTGTGTGTCAGTAAGCAGCGCATTAATATAGAACAGTAATTAAAGGCTCTAATGCACCACCAGCACACCAGTATGTGTATGTATTGTAGGAGCTAGACGACGTATGATGATGTGTGACGTATAGTAGTGGTGTCCCAATTCTTAGGGGAATATTTTCACCCCTACCCCTTGACACGCCGTTTCAAGGGACAAGGGGAAGGGGAAGGGGAAGAGGAAGGGGTATAAAATAGAATTGGGATTGGGCCTAAGTATCTTGTATGCATTTTTCCCCACAGTAGAAAGTTATTTTGCTCTTTAAATTTGATTATAAAAGATGTACACACATTTCAATGTTTTTCACTTCACTCTTCACTTATTCTCAGAACCAGCAATCTCAGACCATTTTAAATGGCAAAAACAATACTGTTTAGAAATAACATCAGTACACACTTTCTGGTTGTCAAATTTGCTTACCGATATCCTATTATCGAGAAGGATATCTGATGATACCGATGGTGATAGTTTGATTTTCTCAAGAAAAAAAAATCTACCCTAACCAATGATGTATACTATGGAGCCCTTAAAGGGACATTGTGGTGGAAAAATTTCAGTGTGGGAGGAAAAAATATTTTTGAAGTGTTTTGCGTTCCCTCGCAAAACTTTTGGGTTCTCTCACAAACCCAGCTGAGTTTGGACAAACTCTTCCTGTTTACTTTACAGCTTGCAGTGGTTCATACAACTCCGTATGTTCACAATGGAAAGGTTCATATAGTTTTATTTTGATTTTGGACTCAAGTATAAAGAAATACAGCCAGTGCTTAGTTCAAGGCACAGTTATGGGACATTCTAAAACGCTTAATGTTTTAAAACAGTGACATTGGAGGACCAAATTCAATAATAATAAATACTAATAAAATGATAAGGCTAATATTAATAATATTACTATTAATAAAGCAGAAAAGCCCAGAATATGAATGCAACGCCCTGCACGTTAAGCTTTTTCTCCCCCATAGAAAACGCTTAAGGTAGGCGAATGAAGACGGTGATTTAAAAATACCAAATCTGTTTACAGTTTATATTACGCACAGAAAAGCAGATGAGCCCAGAACGGAACGTGCAGTGTTTTCTCCCCTGTAGCATTATATGCATTATCGTGCAATTCAGCTCATATTTTGGGCTTGCATGTACACAGTACACATTTTTAATGCATGTATAATATAGCATATTTGGTCTTTTTTTTATCATCTTTTTTTATGCCGCGTTAAGCATTTTATGAACCAATGCAAACTGTTCCGTTCTGGGCTCGTCTGCTTAAGCATTATATGCATTATCGTGCAATTCAGCTCATATTTTGGGCTTGCATGTACACAGTACACATTTTTAATGCATGTATAATATAGCATATTTGGTCTTTTTTTATCATCTTTTTTTATGCCGCGTTAAGCGTTTTATGAACCAATGCAAACTGTTCCGTTCTGGGCTCATCTGCTTATCTGTGCGTAATATAAAGTGTAAACAGATTTGGTATTTTTAAATCACTGTCTTCATTCGCCTACCTTAAGCGTTTTCTATGGGGGAGAAAAAGCTTAATGTGCAGGGCGTTGCGTTCATATTCTGGTCTATTCTGCTTTATTAAAAGTAATGTTATTAATAAGGTTATTAATATTAGCCTAATAATTTTATCAGTATGTATTATTATCGAATTTAGTCCTCCAATGTCAGTGTTTTAAAACATAAAGCCACATTAAGCGTTTTAGAATGTCCCAAAACTGTGCCTTGAACTAAGCGCTGACTGTATTTCTTTATACTTGAGTCCAAGTTCAAAATAAAACTTTATGAACCACTCCATTGTGAACTTACGGAGCTGTATGGACCACTGCAAGCTGTAGTAAAAAGATGCCATTTAACACATTTAAAATATACCAAAATTAGTTGTTTCTACATTCATTTGGAAGTTCCGTGTGAAATTATGATTGTATAAATATATTAATATGCAATTAATCACAATTAATTACAGAAAAAAGTGTGATTAATTCTGTATTTTATTAATTGATTGACAGCATTTATATATTATAGCAGCTATTTTTTGGATATATAAGAAAATAGCCATAGAGGCTGGCAACATTAAAAAAGTCATATATAAAATAAATACAGTAATTTAAATACAGTAATGTTTCACTCTAATCCAACACAAATGCTTTTTGTGAAGATTGCGTGGCATATATGAATTTTCAGCTGTTAATTTTCAGCAAAATAACTGGATGCCTTCCATACAGTATAATTTATTCATGGACTGTTTTGGATACACTTTGGTATTGATGTTTCCAGAACCACCATGAATACTAAATACTTTATGACTGGACTATAACCAGAAAGTGAATTGGACTCTTGGGGAGTAACATTTCATTTAAATTAATTTATATGCAGAGATGGCAAAGTCTCAATGCAGTATTGCAGTGTTTTGCTGCCTAGCTGTTTATCTATTTCTGTGTGTTCTTTTAGTAGAAGCAAATATAGATGTAAACTCTGTTTATGTGTTTTAGGAGGAATTTGGCTACAATGCTGAAACCCAAAAACTCCTGGCGAAAAATGGAGAAACTCTGTTGGGAGCTATCACCTTCTTTATCTCCAATGTTAAAACTCTAGTGGATAAAACTATAGAGGACACCTTGATCAACATTAAGCAATATGAAGCAGCAAGGTCTGAATATATCTTTACAAACCACTGTATACTACTTTTCTATAAATTTTTTGAGCAAAACAATTCTCATTCAGCAAGGTCTGTGCTCTTTTGGTAGGATTGAGTATGACGCATATCGCACAGATTTAGAGGAGCTCAATCTGGGTCCACGGGACGCCAACACACTCCCTAAGATCGAGCTGTCTCAGCAACAGTTCCAGATCCACCGTGAGAAATATGAAAAGATGCGCAATGATGTCTCAGTCAAACTCAAGTTTCTGGAGGAAAACAAGGTAGGAGAATGTATCTTATAAATAAATAAATAAATATGTCTTTTATACTTTGATAATTTACAAAGTAAAATTAGTCAAGTTAATATGTTGATATTTGATACGTTTTTGCACTATATCGACCAAATTAAATACAAGTTGCTGAAATAATGAGTTTCCCAAAAACTGCTACTGTTAATTGCTAAAAGGTTATGTACCTATAGTGCTAATTGTAGCTTGTAAAATGTGGTGCCAATGTTTCTTTAATATTTCAAAAAATATTAACTTGCTTCACCTCCGAAACAACTTTAATTTTTGGCTGATCCTAACCAAACTCTCTTGTTTTTCAATATTTCTTGTTCAATATCCTGCTTACTTGGAAACAACGCATCACATTACAAAAGTAAAGATGTTGCAATGGCCCTTTCAAGTTGACTAAGATATTCTGTTGGGAAAAAAAAGATCTTACTGTTCAGATGATGTATAATAAACATAAAAATTGCTGGTTATCACTGCAGTTGCCTAGACTACACCAAATTTGCCAGACACATTTTACAATATAATCAGCAAAAAATACAATATATATATTTGGGATCAGTAGGATTTTTTATGTTTTTTTATTTTATTTCTGTGTCGAGTCTCGATCGAGTCTCTTATGCTCATCAAAGCTGTATTTATTTGATCAAAAATACAGAAAAAATGAAATAATTTGAAATAATATTGCAATTACCAATATTGGTTTACTATTTTAATATATTTTCAAATATAATTGATTTCTGTGACGCAGCGCTGAATTTTCATCAGCCATTACTCCAGTCTTCAGTATCACATGATCCTTCAGAAATCATTCTAATATACTGATTTATCAGAGTTGAAACTGTTGTGCTGCCTAATATTTTCTTTTGAAATGTTTGATGCTTTTTTATTATTATTCTGCATTTATTCAAAATAGAAATCTTTTCTAACAATTCAAGTCTTTACTATCACTTTTCATCCATTTTAAAACATCATCGATGAATAAAAGTATTAATTTCTTATAAAAATAATGAAAGAACAAATTTAGTGACCACAAACTTTTGAATAGTAGTGTATATTTTAACACAAAATTTCTATTTTAAATCAAATCTGTTCTTTTTAACTTTTATTTATTAAAGAATCCTGAAAAAATAACACGGGTTAAAAAAATATTAAGCAGCGCAGCTGTTTCTAACATTGACTATAAATCAGTATATTAGAATGATTTCTGAAGGATCATGTGACACTGAAGACTGGAGTAATGGCTGATGAAAATTCACAGGAATATTTTAGTAATATAATAGTGGTGTGAAAAAGTGTTGGCCCCCTTCCTGATTTCTTATTTTTTTGCATGTTTGTCACACTTTAATGTTTCAGATCATCAAACAAATTTAAATATTAGTCAAAGATAACACAAGTAAACACAACATGCAGTTTGTAAATGAAGGTTTTTATTGTTAAGGGAAAACAAAATCCCAAACTACATGGCCCTGTGTGAAGAAGTGTTTGCCCCCCTGTTAAAACTGTGATTTATCACACCAGAGTGCCCATCTCATTTTACGAATTAAATCATTTAAAATATTTAATAAATTCTTTGTTTAACTATAAAACATGTGATAGGCTATATTCTATATGGATGTGCCTTGCAGAAGAAGATTTCTTCCCACGGTCGCCTCGGGGACATTAAGGGATTATTTTCTTCTGAAACAGTTTGGAACATTTTGCACTGAGAAAAGAGTTATACATTTTTAAAAAAAATGAAGGAATAAATAAATTCTTCACAGGAATCGAAGACCCAAATACAGGAATAGAAAAAACTGATTTTTGACATAAAGAAACATGAGAATGCTTGACTCCAGTGCCTAAAAGCACCTTCATTTTGTTTCCCTAAAAAGCAAAATGCATGCAAATTACTACAGCCCAGCCACTGGATTTGGAAAAAGAAGGTTAATGAGATTCGTTCTCAATACAGTATTTGAGAATAGAATACATTTCAGTCAATGGTTCTAAAATTACCCTTAAAATTACTATTTGTATCTGGACAATGCTCCATCATCTCCATGGTTGGCAAATAGACCTGCTTATGTTTAATAAACAGCCAGCGACGCTGTATGTCAATATTAATATTTGTGCCCGAGTAGTATCATGTTACACTCATCACCAGTGAGTGACACAGCCTGCGTTCACACTCTCCAGCGGTCCCAAAGATTCACCCGAGCCAGTCACAGCGCGCACTGCGCATGCGCTGTAGCTCGGCGCACACCACACGCGCATGCGTAGTGTGCCCTCTGGCTGTAATGCACTGCATCTTTGAGCGTCGCTGCAGCGCTGGACGCGCAGAATGTCGGTGATACCGACACACACCTAGCCTCGGATATACGCACCTGCCGCAACAGGAAAAAACTAGTACATCTTTCCCTTAGATTCTACACGGTAAGTTCTTTAACCCCGTTTAAATTGCACGTTTAGTTCTGTAAAATACGTTTAGGTTTTTACAATTATTTCTGCTGCTGAATTATTTTGTTTCTAGACCATGCATTCATTGACTGACTTAAATAATAATTTTAATATTCTCCCTGCGCATGGATTCTCGCATGGTCGCTCATAATGATAATATTCCCGCTTTGTGTGTGTGTGTGTGCATGTTTATGTGGTTTATGAGGACACAAATTTGTATAATAACATGGGTATGACATAGGTATTACAACGAGAAGGTGATTTATGAGGACATTTTCAGTGTCCCCGTAATTCAAAAGGCTTATAAATAATTCAGAATGAGTTTTTTTGAAAATCTAAAAATGCAGAAAGTTTCCTGTAAGGGGTAGGTTTAGGGGTAGGGTTGGTGTAGGACAATAGAATATACGGTTTGTACAGTAGAAAACCCATTACGCCTATTGAGAGTCCCCATAAACCATAAAAACAAAGCTGTGTGTGGTGTAGATTGACAGTTGTAGTCATTTATTGATTCTACAATTTCGCCCGTCTTCCTCCCTCGTCTTTCCTTTGGGTATAATCGATCCATTCTGTGTTTCCGTTTCGTTAACACTCAGTTTTATTTCTGTAGCCTTTAGTGTGATCGCTGTCACGCTATAGGACGCATCCCTAAAGATTACAGTATTACTCGTGTAACCTCACGGGTCCCATGAGTCAGCTCCTCTGTAATATGAACACGTTGTTCAGACTTTAATAAGAAAACTATAGCACGGTTCCTGCTCAAAAGCCTTCCGTGCCTCCTTTATTTAACTTTATTGTGTTGGACCATGGTCTGTAAACATTACATCATCTGAAATCTGTCATAGTCACAGTATCCTATAAATGTGAATTCACAGGACAACTGTAAAGTACAAATGTATGCATTTGAAGGTTTCTGCTGCTGACCAGCGCATGCTAATGCCCCGTAGAGACCCTTAGGGCTGTTAGTAGTGCTTTTTGTGCTGCTTTGTCACAGACTGTGATGTGCTTTATTGTAATCCTCTGAAGCCAGCTTCTTTAGTAGCCCATCCCATTTCTCATGGTGAGATGAATTGGACAATCCATTCAGGAACAAAGCTTAGGGAAAAGTTTTCCCTCAGGGTGAGGTCAACGGGGGAGGGTGGTTGTCTGTTGTCACATTGCCACGGTAACACACCCTAAAGTGGGGGAACTCAATTGGTGCAAGCGCCCCCAAAGCACTGACCTGATAGATTACCGTGGTAACACTATCTGAGCATGATTGTGATTTTGTGGATTGTTTTGGGTTCTGACAGTGTAGCTCCTTTTTCTTTTCTTTTTTTTTTGGTAAATATTTGGTGATGTTTATTAGTTATTCCTAACCGTACAAAGACTATTGCAGTGTACATTTGTAATCAGTAACAAACACAGACACATTAAAGCTCCAATTTCTATTCACAAAAATAACAGAAATACATCTTAACAGAAAAGTATTATTTATATATAGAATGTTTAACATTTTTAATTATCTTTTATTTTTTATATTTTCAGTTTTCATTTCAGTTTTAGTAATTTGTTAGTTTTTTTACATTTACATTTTGTTTCAGTTAGATCCCAGTGCAACATTTCTAGTTTTTAATTTATAATATTTCACCAGTATTTCAATCATTTATATTATTTCGTCTTTATTTCAGTTACCAAAAAAGATTTTTAATAGTTTCAGTTTTAGTTAAAAACCACAACGCTGTCGTCATCACAGTTCCAGTTGTTGTTTTACTTAATCTGTCACAATGCTTCTAATGGGCTCTAAAGGGACTAAATTCACCAGTAAGCGTCTAGCTCTCTCATTTGCACACACGTAAACATCAGGTGTTTGGACTTCAGCTTCCCCTCCCACCTGCTGTCATCATGACAACCAAAGTGCGTCCTTCCGTCTGTGCCACTGGCTGATTCACTTCCCTGTATAAAATGGTTTGAAAAACATCAGAAATCTTGTATTTCCTATTTTGTTCTATTGCACATCCACTCTACATGAACTAAATGTAATTTTGCTACACATCAAGATGTATTAGGATGGTTTTGGTATTCTGAGAGGTTTGATTTACACCAGTGTGCTCTCTTTGTTTGCACATGAGGTCATTTATATTTTATTGCGGTCATTTCACTGTCTACTATTACTAGTTGTTCCTATGGGGACTGAACTGAATTTGTAGTGACTGTGGGAGACAGAAAATCTTGTTTGTGGTGGAGAACAATTAGATGAATTGGCTGTTAGCAGTGACTGTAATATGAGCATGTGTGTGTTTGTGTATTTTGCTAGTCCATTCTAGTTATCACACTGTGTCCATTCTAGCACGTGTATGTGACTAAACACTCATTCAGTTCACATTAAAGTGAAGAATGTGTAGAATTAGAATAAATGCCCACAAGCCAATATGCAGCTTCAGTGATTGACAGCGAAGACCATTTACATTAGTGCAGTATCCCAGTCAGTGCACTTTGATGTCCTGGTCCCATGTGGACAGGATGATCTCAAAAATCTTTAAAAATTAGCCCTTATGGATTTCCTAGAAACTTAAAGGACACATTTAGTTTTTCTT